CAACACCCAAATAGTAGCTTCTAAATAAGCTGAAATTGTGCCCATGTTCTCTCAGAAAGGTCACAATAATTGATTAAGTCATTACCAAAGGGTTTCTTTTGAGGCACGATGGAGTATGTGATTATATCAGGAATTGCTTGATAATGTCAGATAGGCGTAAACTAGCTCCCCATTCCCTGAAGGTTACATTTAGCATCATAGGATTTGTGTACTTGGGAGCTAGAAGAAAACTACAGTCATCAGGTTAAAACCTCATATTTTAAATGAAAAGACTGAAGCCCAGAGAGGTTCTGTGACATGTCGTCAACCATAGATCTACTCTAGGGCAGAATGGTACCAGTCTCTGGGTTTCCAGGGCTATAAAATTAGGAGATTAAATTTGACATGTTTTTTAAAAAATGTGTTATGTGGAGTAGATTGTAGCAACTTAGTCTCTAAACAAAACATTTGTAAAGTGCCTGTCACAGGCTATCTAGTGGTGTCCAAGGTTTTCCTAAAGTAGGAAAAGCAGGGCAGCCCCGGTGGCTCAGCAGTTTAGCACGGCCTGCAGCCTGGGGTGTGATCCTGGAGACCCGGGATCGAGTTCCACGTTGGGCTCCCTACATGGATCCTGCTTCTCCCTCTGCCGGGGCTCTGCCTCTCTCTCTCTCTGAATTTAAAAAAAAAAAAAAAAAAAAAAAAATCTTACCAGCGTGGAGCTCAGGGCAGGGCTTGAACTCCCAACCCTGAGATCAAGACCCAAGTTGAGGTCTAGAGTGTGACACCCAACTGACTAAGCCACTCAGGCACCCCACATTTAGTGATTTCTAAACATCTTTTTCTTTTTAAAATATTGACAGCAGGGTTGTACGGGGTGAGAGCTGGCCCAAGCAGTTAGTCCAGTCTTTGGGAAGGGTAGGCACCAAGAGGTAAGGGGGCCAAAACCATCTCAGCATGAGAACCAGTCAGTGCTGTCATGAGTGAAGAGTCTCAGAATTATAAACAGTCCTCAAAGGAGTCAGCTGTTTACCTGGGAAAGGGATGTGAAGGTTCCAGATTGAACAGCCCTGCCTTCCAGGTTTCTCTGGTTCTCACTGGCCTTTGCCCTCACCTTATTTCTTAAACTGTGTTCTCTGCATCCATCCGCTGCTATTCTTCCCCACCTAGGATCTCTGCCTTCTGCCCCTGTTCCATGCTTCCAGGTTCTGTTGGTTTTCCTCAGGAAGTGTGACAGCAAGTAAGGAGGAGGATTAGAAAAAAGGCAGAGAAACTGACAGGCTCATATGACCCAATGCTAACTCTCTTATTTGTGATTTTACATAAATCTGTATAAATTTTTTAAAAATTACACCTAGATGTCTTGTTGTTCTTAGGATATAAATGGACCTTTAAGGAAAATCCCATTAAAAAAATTAACTCCTTTTCAGTGGCCTAATAAGACACAATACCAAGCCTACAAATGGACAACAGACCGTGTAACAGGGAGAGTATACCCAGGACTGTGCACAGTCCTCACGATGACAGTGTTTACACAGCAGTATTCAATTTTCTGTAGGAAATGTGAACACAAAGCCCCTTCATAGTTTATCTAATTTCATGGCAAACTAAATTAAACTATAAATATGAGAGCAAGTTTTTCCCCATCCCACTTAGTTTATCAAGAACTTTGCGTAGGTGAGATCTTAAAAAAGAAAAAAGAAATTGAATAAGACAAGGAATCTGAGACCAAAATCTAGAGGTAGAAATTTTACTTTCTAGGCTGCGCTCTGCCTAGGAATTGCTTTTCAGGCCCAAGTGAACGTTTGCTGCTCAATTTTCTCTTATTAAAGGATAACTAGACCACCACAGTGGCATTAAAAATACCATACTGGAAAAAAAAAAAGTACCATACTGAAAATGTGATTTATGATCCAGAGACCAAAATTCCAGTGTAGGAACCAGAAACACTTCAAGCACTTTAATTAAAAAATTGGTTTCAAGTGGCACTGGTAGGGCCCTAAGATAGCTCCGATCCACATTACGTAGCAATTCAGAGAGGCTCTTGGGTTCAGGACTGAGAGGAAATGGGGCTTTCTGAATCTGCTCTTTGGGAGACTGCAATTCGTTTCAGTTCCAACGTTAGAGTGCCTTAAGGGTCTTTAAGTTAGTCAAGTTCAGTATAACGCGAAGGTGGGACCCTCTTGAAGTAGTCATTCTCAGCTTACCACGTTAACAGACCAACAGCCTGGACCTCTCTTTCTTCATCCTATTCCAGATGTCAGGGTTGAAGCATGTTTGCCTGTTCATTGCCATGGGGCTCAGCATACAAAGCATTTTTTGGGTCCCTGCTCACCTGACACCGTGGCCCACATGCCATTACTCTTGCTTCACCATTGTGTACAAGTAGCTTATAAACCAAATCAAGATGTAAACAACAGCTGGATTCTTATTTTAAAGGAGTCACATGATTCCAGGGGGAAATCAGCTTTCAGGCTTTTGCCTCACATTGGATTTGGTCTGTGGTGTCCCTATATAGTGCCAGAAAGCTACATGGTTATTAAGGGTTTGAATCAGATACTCAGATAGACAGGCAGTCACATGCCCACAGTACGGAATGACCTCAGCGAACAACTCATGTTTCTAGGATGTTGGGAAATTCGACTTGCTGAAAGACTTTGTCCTTACAATGTGAGGATGTCAGTGGCTGATATGATTCAGCAGCAAACTCTAATCTGAATTTCAAAACAACTGGCCTCTTGCTCAAGGGGACATCTGAATTTTAGATCTAGATCATCTACTTTCCAAATTCTTCAGAGCAGCTCAATCTCTGGACCAATTCAAATAGAATAAAATTAGATCTCTTCTCTCCAAGAAAATCACCTTAGAGGAGTTGAGATTTTCTACAAGGCTTTCATTGCCCCTTAGTAACAGGGGGATCCTGAAGGCCATTTTTCATGCAGCCACCTGTGCTCCCCAACTCCACTTCTTTTTACCTAGTTGAAATTCCCACTTTGTTTGGCTTCTAAATTCTGGCTTCTGGGTCTGATTGAGTCAAGGGCCTAATATTCCAGTCCCAATTTACCATGGACAAAGCAATCATCTATATAATTGGAAGACATAATTAATAGGTATATCAGAGTAAAGCTTTTTTTTTTTTTTCTTTTTCTGGGTCATTTAAGGACAGTTCCCATGGGCTCCTGAAAATTTATTCTGCTAGAGGACTATTTGCACAGAGCTTAATGAGATATTAATGCAGAGCCTAATAGTAGCCTAAAAGCATTCACAGAGTTGTCTCATTTTCTACAGATGTATTTCACAAAACAAATAAAATACAGACTTGAACACCTTGAATTACTGAAAAAAATCAAGTGGTAGTGATTCACTATTTAATTATGAACTCCCCTAGTGCATTTAAGTCACTCATTTGTTGAAGTTAGTTGATTTGAAACAATGTTTCAATCAGGTGTTTTGTTTTTTTTTTAAGCTGTTATTTTTTTAATAGACCCGGATCATGTTCTTTAGAGATGGAAATAAGCTCTTAAAAATGTAGAATTCAGACCCATTCAATATTGTCATCATCTCATTCTAGTTCCCCTTCCCCTTTCACAAAAGTTTTCTGAAGGGGTTCCTGGTGGGGGAAGAATTTGGCTCTTTGCAATTAGCTAATCATCTAACATTTTGTCTTCCCCCATGCTCTATACTAACCTTCCACTAGGAACAGCAGTGCACTAAAGTGGCTCCATAATTTTTTTTTTAAGATTTATTTATTTATTCATGAGAGAGAGAGAGAGAGAGAGGCAGAGACAAAGGCAGAGGGAGAAGCAGGCTCCATGCAGGGAGCCCGATGTGGGACTCGATCCCAGGACTCCAGGATCACGCCCCGGGCCAAAGGTAGGTGCCAAACCGCTGAGCCACCCAGGCGTCCCTCCATAATTCTCAAATGAGTATTTTTAGAACTGTTCGTTCATGCAAGATACTCTCATGAATTTCAAATTTTTATAGTAATTAGCATTGCCTTGCCTTCTTCATTCATATCTACTCTTGGTTATTTTTTTTCTTCTTTAGCCTGAAAGAAAAGATAGCTTAACACACAAGGTTTTGTTTATAAACGGTTTTGGTTTGGGGTGGAAGTTTGAGTGACAGAGGGTGTATAAGTAGCCACAGGCCCCTCCTGAGAAGTCTGGAAGCAGAACCATCAAGCCAAAGCTGTGGGTTTAAATTCCAGCTTTGGCAGTGGTCAGCCATGTGACCTTGAACAATGGCTTTGAGTCTGTTTGCTCCATGTAAAATTAGGATAATATGTTAGGATAAATGTTAATTTGTATCATGGGATTGTAGAGAATACTGAAAAAAATTACATAAAACACTCAACACAATGCCTGGAACATCATGGCTATTAACGCTGTTAGTGTCTGGGAAGACAACACAGTTCTTGTCAGGTCCTATGCTCTTGCCAATGTCACTTGCTTTGTTCTTTAGTTCTTAGCAGTCATTTTCCCTCTGGCTAAAAGGTGTAGTAGTTATTCCATTTCTATGCCTACTAGCCAGTTAGCTTAACCAGTGTGAAACTAGGTATGTATGTGTACATGAAAGTAAGGATTTCTATTTCTAACATGGACACCAATTTTATTTATTTTTTATTTTTTATTTTTTTTTAAGATTTTATTTAATTATTCATGATAGTCACACAGAGAGAGACAGAGAGGCAGAGTCACAGGCAGAGGGAGAAGCAGGTTCCATGCACCGGGAGCCCAACGTGGGATTCGATCCCGGGTCTCCAGGATCGTGCCCTGGGCCAAAGGCAGGCGCCAAACCGCTGCGCCACCCAGGGATCCCTGGACACCAATTTTAAAACTAGTTTCAGAAGTTCTGTGTTAAAAAAAAAAAAAAAAAACCAAAAAACAAAACAAAAAACCAAAAAACCCACATACTTCATGCTTAGACTAATTTACATGGGAAAAATTATCGGCTAAGTCATGTTATTACTGTTACATGTTAACATTTTTGTGACTTTAAAACTAATTTCCTTAATATGAACTTAGATAATGTTTAATTTGGACAAAGTACACATCATTTTGGATGAGATGGTGTTAAATGGCTGCATTGTGGAAACAAATCGGGCAAGAATTCTTGCCCCTCTACTCATCCTTGACAAAATGTCAGAAAGCTGAATGATGGCTCTGCCAGACAAGATCTACTTGTAGAAGTGAGAATACCATGGAATGAATACCTTTCAACATCTGTAGCCCAAGAAATCTGGAAGACTCTGTATTGCAAAATGGGGTGTCTTCCAAAAACAATTTAAATAGATGTTTCCCACAGTTCCTAAATGGAAAACAAAACTGTACATTAAAATATGGTGTACAAAGAAAACTTTTCTCTGAACTAAGAGACAAGTTTTGTTTTCTAGCCATAAGCATTTTTCTCCCCACTTGTCCAAATTTTGTTGCATTCTGAGGGTAACTTTTTTGTTCTTTGCTTCTCTTTGTACATTTAATTCCGGATTAGCAGCATGGGAAGAACATGTGACAACTCAGCCAATAAAATTTTAAACACACATAGTACTTTGAATATTTTCTGAATGCTTTTTCCTTAAAATGTCTTAAAATGTCAAAACTTTACAAAATTGCGTAGCTAATAAAAATGGAGAATTAAGTTTCTAAAAGCCTGGCAACCATTTTAATGGCAATTACTTGGCAATTAAAATGTCATCATGTTAATTATAATGTTAGTACCAAAAACAAAAAAAAAAAAAAATCAACGATTGCACGTTAAAAGAGAGCTCTTACAAAACCATCCTTTAAGGCCATATTGTAAATGGTGTGTCTTACTAGTAAACTTACTTGTAAATGAAATTTACTTTAAAGTCTAAAACCATGCAAGAGAGTGTATCTCTGTTCAGGTTGGGATGATATGAACCCTTCTCCCCTGCTTCTCTAACTCACTCTTTTGACCTCTTCTCCTGGAATGTCTTAAAGCAAAGAAAAACTAAGTCACTACAGGAAAGCAATGACCTGATTCTTCCAAACTTTTCTAGATGCTTTTGCTACTAAGTCAACAGTTGAGCATACAGAACTGTCTTAGGTAAAAGCATGTTTATGTGCATATAAGGTAGGAAGGCAGATACAATAGAGGAAATAGAAATAGTCTTGGTACATTAAGATATTGTGCCATCCTATGGAATTCCAAGAGTTCTTTCACCCACAACACTCTACTCTCCAAAAGAAGACATAAATGGACATTCCAGGCATTGATGATTCATTCAGTACTATTTGCTTTTTTTCTCTTTCTTTATATGTGGGGGTGGGAGGAGGATTTCTTTTAAATCCTTGTTTCTAAAAAAGTCTACTTACATATTTAAAGTTTGTATCCATAAAAACTCAGGCAACCATTCAATAATGGATTCTAAAAGCAAACCTGGGTTCTGGACTCATTCAGAAAGGCAGAAGAGAGGCTTTTGAGCCACTGGAACAATAAATGGTACATATGTAGAGATCCACTTTAGCAATAAGTAGCCAAGGTCTGGGGAAAGCCCAGTCTACTCGATCAAAGTGCTTTGGAGGTCTTTCTAAGACATATTAGTTGGGAAACACTGTCCTAATTGGTAGGCACTTAATCAGTAGCACATTCAGGTAACTGCTGAAACTGGTACACCAGAAGTAACTAGGGAGTGAACAAAATTAATTTTTAGGTCACACCAAAATAGCACTTGGATAACATCTTGGCACAGATTTTAGTACCTTTAGAGAATAACAATTAAAAAAAAAATTACTAGGTAGATGCCACAGGAAAGAAAGGTGAAGAACCTGATATATGTGGAGACCCTAGTAGATCTCCTAACACTCGACTCATGCAAAGTGAACCATAATAGAACTATCTGTTCTTATAGGCTGTGTCATCATCTCCCTTCAGGTTTACTGCTGAACTATGATGAACAGCTTTAAGTGATTTCCACACCCATGAAACTTGTGTCTCAAATTGATCAGCTTTACCTTGAAGACTCCTGACATTTCATTTACTGAATATATAAGACTTGTCAATTTTACCTGCTACAGCAATGTGCTAGAACAGGATTCAGCAAAACTTTTCTGTAAAGGGCCAGATAGTAAATATTTTAGGTTTCATGGACCATATGGTCTCTGCTATGAACACAGCTCTGCCACTGTAATGTAAAAACAGCCACCAATAATATGTAAAGGAATGATCATAGCTGTGTTCTAGTAAAACTTTATTTATGGACACTGAGGTTTGAATTTCATAAAATTTCCACATCATAAAATACTATTCTATTGTTTTTTAACCACTTAAAATTTTTAAAATACTTACTTAGTTCATGGGCAATACAAAAGCAAGCAGCAGGCCAAAGTTTGCTGTCTCCTGTGCTAGATTAGTCTTGGTGAAAGCGGGCTATTGACAGACATTTTACAGACTTAGTAAATGGCAATACTAAGCACAGAAACTGGATTTTAACTCTAATGCTATTATACAGTTTTAGTCCTGCATCCATCCATGACTTTGCTGAGACAATCACCACCACTATTTTTTGGATTAAAGCATAGGTCATACATTTAAATATTGCTGTTATGTTTTATTTTAACTTTTATTCTCACAGATAACTGTGAAACTAACAACAAGATGAATTAATTTAAATGCTGCCACTGATAACATAGTCACAACATTCTCACGCAGAGAATAAAAACAGTACTAAAATGACTGACTGTAGTGGGAGAGATCTCTTCTAATGTAGAAAGGGAATGTACCTTTTAAACAGGTAAATAATGGGCAATCCCCAAAAAATGCTTTTCACTCCTCAAAATGCCATTTGGCTACATCAGGCCTACTGACATTTCTTTCACCTTAGGGCACAGATATGCTACATCAAGGGAATTTGGAAAATGGAAATATCAGTCCATGAAACAGCAATGTCCTGGTGGTTTCTTTTCACACTAACACAACATTAAGAAATCATTCTTGGGTCTTAGACTTACACATCCCTGCAGATACAACGGTAGCAGATCTGGTGTTTAAAAAGTGAACACACATAACTTTGGCCATTCTTAGCTGAAGAATACTTTAAGACAGAACACAACAGTTGGATCACAAGCATGTGAACATATATTTCTTCTAGCTTTCCAGTTTTGGTAAGTGTATTTACTATCGAAAAATACATTTCTAGATGTCATACTTTCAAAAAACTAAATCTCAGTGGTTCAAAATAAAAAATATCTGGTTAAGCTCTTAGGTCTGACCGTTGCAGTGAAATAGTCACGTGACACAGTTTTGTACGCTGCAAACATTTTAATGATTATTGTTGAGCATACATTTTGGAAATTTTTTACTTCAAACTGCAACAAGTTAAATAAATGTTTATAATATACAAAGAAAATACAACCAAAAGTAAAACTTGCTTTAAGTGTGCCTTGCATCTAGACCAGTGTTTTTTCTTTTTTCCCCTTAATATATCTTTACTTTTGAGCTGCACAAACACACTTAAGAATTTGATCTTTATAGTATGGCATTTAGGAAATAAAAATATACTCCCACCTCAAAGAAATAAAAAGGTTGTGCATGATTATATGCCAAACAAAAGAGAGAACACTAGAATACTCTGATAGTGCAGGCATCATTAAAAAGGAAAAAAAGCTTGAGATGCTCATTAACTCTCTATGTTTTAAGGAAGCAGGATTTTTGACCACATAGCTTAAAAGCCAGCAAAACAGGGATCAGTGACGGCAACTGTAGTGTATGAAGTATGAAACGACAAACTTTACACAAATACACTGTTAGAAATTTACCAGTGAACACTGAAGATCTGAGAAGCTGCTCTTTGGAACAGTCAAGTAGGGATCACCTTTTTCCAGTCACTAAGCCCTTGTAGCAACACACAGTGTTCTGTGCTATATACCTGCTGGCTGGGTAGTTAAAGGATTTGTTTTGTCATTAGCAGCTAACCAACTTATTCCACGTTCTTAAAGCCTTAATGGTTGAAATAAAGGCAAGTGTCATTAGCGTAGAGGATCATATACTTCTCTGCACACAAACACAAGAGGCTTCACTAGTATTTTAAAAGTCTCTGATGTCTCCCACTTTGAAGCTCAGTTGAGATGAAAGCCTTTCTCCATGGTAGCAGCTAGCAGGCGCTCTCTCATGATCTCCTCCGAAGAATATTCAGGCAACTTTAGATAATGCACACATGTATTCACTGATGGATAGCTTGCATCAGTGGCATCAACCTACAAAAAAGAAAAGTGAAAAACAGAAGGCCATGACTTTAAATATTTCTTTCAATCCTGAAGTTACTAAATTCCATTTGGATTCTCCATTAGCTAAAGTTTGTACCTTGCGTACAACTGTGAGCCTGGGATGCAGATTAGCTAGTCCACCAGGGGGCAGAGTTGAGCAACCAGTGGTAAACTGCAGGAATGCTTTCCTTTCATCTGAAGACATGCCACACAAAACCCTCACAAACCTCAGGAAACCGGGGCTAAAAGAGGAAAAAATATAGTTCAACTGATTTGACAGCTGATTTAAATGAAAATCACTACCACTACCTTGTAAGCCAGCAATAGCCCCCAAAACAACTATCAGCATTTTGAGAAGAATACTACTATCTAGAGACTCTTTTTGTTTTTTTCTATCTAGAGACTCTTGAGTAAGCATGAAATGAGTGGATATAAACTACTTTAAAAATATCCTGCAAAGATTGTCTTGCACTTATAAATGGTAAGAACTGAAACACTGATGGAGTACAGGGACCAAATATGCAACAAGGCCAGCAAATCAAAAAAACTTCAAACTGCACATGCATAATTCAATCAAATATGGCTAACCCACCAAAGGGGATCTGAAATAATCCATTTTTGTTAATAGTGAAATCAACTATTTCTATATGCCACAAAAGGGAAGACTTTCATAATCATAATGTTAATCAAAAGAAGCCAGACCTTTAAAAATACATGAGATTTCATTTATGAAAGTTCAAAAGCAAGCAAAACTGATCTATGGTAACAGTGACTTAATATTAGAAAAGAATATATGGGTAAGGGCAATTCTTGAGTTATTTCTTGTTTTGGGTGCCAATATACAGGTTTTCCTTTTGTGAAAATTCTCCAGGTTGTACATGCAGTTTGTACACTTATCTATTATAATTCAATAAAAAGTTGCTTAAGAAAAAAATGTTATATAAACATTAAGTATAAAGTAATTCATAATACAGTTGACCCTTGAAGAATAAAAGGTTTGAACTGTGCAGGTCCACATATATCTATGTAATTTTTTTCAATAGAGAACTGCAAATATAATTTCTCTAACTCATGACTTTCTTTTCTAATTGTTATCTGAGTATAGGTGGCAATGTTACATTAGTTTCAGGAATCCAACATAGTGACTCAACAAGTTTATACTATGTTCAACAAAAGTGTAGTTCCTCATGATTTTCTTAACATTTTCTTTCCTGCAATTTATGTAATGGTAAGAATACAGTATATAATATGTATAATGTATAAAATACGTGCTATTTATGTTAACAGTAAAGCCAATCAAGAGTAGGATATTAGCAGTTAAG